TCTCTTCTTGTAAGAGCACCCATCCCACCCGAGGGTCCCACCCTATGACCTCATCTAAGTATCTCCCCAAGGTTCCGTCTCCTAATACCACTTCACTGGGAGGAAGGATTTCGACATGTGAGTTTGGGGCTCGAGGAGACACCATTCTGGACCATAGCATAGCCTAAGTGACACCTTTGTGTGGGCACAGCATAGCCTAAGTGACACCTTTGGAAGACAGTGACACAAACCCTGTCCCACCTCACAGAGCTCAAGCTGTGGGGGAACCACAGAAATATCTAACTAGAGATGGTTATCAACAAGTGCGTATCAGGGACCCAGTGATCGTCCACAAGGAAGTCACCTTAGACCCCTGGTGGTAGATGGGGAGGGGGCCCCTCCGGCCCTGAGAGCACCACAAGCAGCAGCCTCCACGTAGGAGACAGAGCTGACGCTGTGCCCTGGACCCCTGAGCACCATTCATCTGTCTCCCACATAGATATATAGGCAGAGACTTCTAGAACTTCCCTGGGGACGATTTTGACCTAGAAAAGAGGCTCTCTGCTGGGTTGTGCCACTGGACAGCCTATGGTCAGTGTCTGGGCAGGGAGGCCTGCAGGCCAGGAAGCCGGCTCTGAGCCTCTCATTAGTCTCTCTCACTGGACTAGTGCCTTGCGAAGGACCGTGTGTGCAGCCCGGGGAGCCTCTTTCTTTTTTATGTGAAAAAATGTCTGTACGATGTGTCATGAGCAACCCAGGAATGCAGAGAGAAATGCAGAAAAGTAAAATTCACATCTATAAGTGAGTTTTGCTTCACACTGAGTGACTTGGTTTTGGCAGATAGCTATTATTTAAAGAAAACTTTTTGCCTATCCACTTTACGTTACAATTTTTTAAATAAAGATTTTGGTTTTTACAACTTCTTTAGTTTTAGGCCACAAACTGCCTTCTCTAAAGACATATGCTTACGATTTGCAGTGTTTTGTCCTGAAATCTCTCTGGAATATGGTGAGCTACTGAAATAACTTTCCCTTGGGAATCTAGTGCTCCCATATTTAACAACACAGATTTATATGTCACTGTTTCTTTCACAATGTTCTTCTCCTTCTCCTTTTCCTCCTCTTCCTTTTTGTTTTCTGTCTGTCTCTGTCTATCTCTGTGTCTCTATCTCTGTGTTTCTGTCACTGTGTCTCTTTTGTCTCCTTATCTCTCTTTCTCTGTGTGTCCCTGTGTGTCTGTGTGTCTCTATGTGTCTGTCTGTCTCTATCTTGTCTCCCTGTCTCTCTCTGTCTCTCTTTCTCTCCCCTCATTTCTTCTCTTTTTAAGTAGTAGACACACTTTCTCTGAGAATCTTGTTTTATAATTTCTGAGGGCCATGACACTATTTGGTGTCCTTTCAAATTCTACTGGGCTGGATTGGGGATTAAATCCTCACCTAGATTCCCTCCTAGGCCATCCAGGGGCTTCTCTGTGAGCCCCTGAGAACCTCTGGCTCTTCCTGGCCTCTGAATCCTTCGCTCCTGGCTCGTGCCACATGACCCATCAATTATTTTTTAATGATTACTATTAAGGCCCAATTTATGTTGTTGTCTGAAAAAGTCCATTCTGGGAAGAAGGGCAACATGCCTGGTTGTAAGTGTTCCAGCAGCACAGGGAATGGGACTGGGCATAGACGCGGGGCAGCTCTGAGCAGTTTCTTCATGAGCACCACGATTCTCTCTGATTCTCACGCTGCTCCATAAGTCCTATCCACAGTATCCTCGCAGGTCCTGCGCCAGCCAAGGCTGTTCTCTTGGGCTCCTAACCATGTCAGACACCAGGGAACATTTTGCTCCTGATTGTTTCCCCTCCCAGCAAGGCCTTGCTGTGAGTTCCCCAAGACAGTAGCCATGAGTCGCAGCTGCCCCAACTGTACTCCAGCCCAGACTCACCTTCCCAGGCTGGTCTCTTTCCCCAGCACAACAGCAAGGTGACGAAGCAAAGCTCTTCCCTACGCAAGGACCTCTGTGTGGACCTTCCTCTCCCTCCAGCTCATCTCTTTATGACTGCTACATGACTGCCATCGAGGTGACAGAACTTTGCTGGGTGCCCTAGCAGTGAGCATCCTCTTCCTCCCGAATACACTTCCTGCACTGTACTGCTGTCATTATTTTATATGATTATCTTCTGTGCTGAACTTGGACATCAGCCTGTTCTGTCATTATTTCCTTAATGTTTCCATGCATGGTACCTAATTTTTAATAACCATACAGGGAAGAAAGACAGGAAGGAAGAGATGACAAAGAGAGACAAAGGTGGGTCAAGAGAAGGAAAGGAAGAAAAATGGGCAGCCTTGTTCCATTTGTTTTAACCTTGGCTGAGGCGCACACATGTCTACACCCATAAGAAGGACTGAGAGTATAGGAGATAAAGAATAGAGGAGTTCAGGCCTAGCAGAGTTGAAATTTAGGATTAGCAAGGCTTGAAGGCTCTGGTAGCTTGGGAGACCCAGCTCTACTGGCCATGTGGAATACCGAGAATAGTGAGAACTTAGTGACACTACAGTTACACATTTTGTTCCTGACTAGGATGGAATTGGTGTGAATCTTTTTCAATTTCTAGTGTGTGGTAGACCAGCCAAAGTCCAGGGGACACAGGGCATTTTGTGAGCCTCACAGGACAGGTGAGGGCAAAAGGACCGATCACCCTGCTTCTCGCCACAGCAGCCCAGGTCCTCACCCACACAGCCCTGCAGCAGCCAGCAGCATGCTGGGAGGATTCCCCTCCACACAGTGATGACATTCGGCTAAGCCACAGTTTCCTTGACCCAGAAGGAAATCCTTGTGGTTTGGGGTTGGGGGTGTGGCCCAGTAAGCGTAGATTTTTTCCTGGTTGCCTGATAGCTTTAAATTGCAACTTCTCTTTTAATTTTCCATTATGCATCAAACACATCTGTGCCAGAACTGGACAAATGTATTCCGTCTGGAAGGAAGATCCCAGACAGCTATAAATTAAGCGTTTGTGTACAGAGATTCCAAAAATGTGGCCTCGTGGTAGGGTGTCCCTAGGACCAGTCACCTCCTCCACAGTCTGCTTGGTGGCTGCTGGCTTTGGCCCCATGCCTGTGTCAATAGATTTTGCTTTGTATTTGGAAACTGCCTTGCCATCAGTCACCACCGAGTTGCTGAGTGGCCTGTGCAGCTCTGCTGGGTGGACTTGTCCCAGGCAGCCCGTGGTGTTCTTGGGGATGGCATTCGACCAGGGCCTGGCACAGCAGCAGCGAGGACCCCATGCTGGTTTCCTCCCAAGCTGCAGCACAGTCCAGGAAGGCTTTCCCCGCTTTCTTCCCACTGAACAGAAAAACGACCAGGTAGCACTTTTTGAAAAAACTGGTAAAGTTAAAAGAGTAATCCATGCTTAATTCAGAAAACCTAGAAAATGTAGTAAGATAAAAAGGTCATTGGTAATCCCACCACTCAAAGAGGAATATTGTTAATGTTTCAGCATGACTTCCTTTCCGTTCCATGGTACTCTTCACAAACCTAGAAGTCTTTCCAGAGCTGGTTGAGCCCAGTTCCCATAGCTGCCCTTCACATTATCCAATTAGTACTTTCCTCTGAGGACTGGAAATTGTTAGTTATTCTGCAACATGAGTCCAGCCAGCAGAATCTGCCTCCTTTACTCCTCCTCACTAAAGAAGTCACACAGTGGCATGTGTCAGCCGGTCCTAGGGGGGTAGGCTTGGGACACAGAAGGTAAAGGAGGATAAAGTTCTTATAGGAGCAGAGCCAGATAGCCCTAAGGGTAGCACCAGGCCCTTCATATGCTGCCCCACAAGGAGGAAGGCGCCCATGTTGAAAGGACTCTGGCCCAACCCTGACTGGGACTTTTTCTTACTAAACCTCTACTCCTCTGCTTTCCATCCTGCCTTCCTGCTGCCTGCATCTGTGTGTGCTCTTTCCTGTTTGAACACTTTCAAGCATTCATCTGACGACAGGTTGAGACAGAACTGGCTGGCTTGGCAGAAGCAGGAGGCTATTTTTACTTTGCTGCTTATTTTCCCATCTTGCCTGGCACCCAGAAGGTGCCTAGTAAATATCTATTGATGGACTGATACAGTGAAATTTGAGAGTGGTGTTTGTGGAGCACGAACCCTGTGGCCACAGCCTGCTGGCATACGGTTGTGACAGACGTGCGATGGCAGAAAGGAGACCCACCACACTCCTAGGAGCAGAAGGGAAGGAGCCTGAACTGGTGATGACACTGCCAGCCGCCAGCCTGCCCAGCACTGCCTGCGCCAGCTCCTCAGCCTCTTCAGGAGCCACACAGCACACAGACCAAAAAAATTATTTTTTCCTTTCTTGTTTTCCATGGAAACTCAAAATAGCAACCAAAAAAAAAGGGCCAGGCTCCCTCCCTCTCTGCCTGTAAAACCATGATCAGGCAATGACCAGCATGTGGGATGGGGCACTGGGGGGTGATAGGGTCACAGAAGCCACTGCAATGGCATTCTAATTGGAGACTGTGCATCATGAGATGTGGGTGAGTTTTGAGGTTGGTGTGCTTTTTCTTATTTAGAAAAGTGGAACCCCCAAAGTCTTGGAGCTCATCTTGCCCTTGGTGACCTGGTACCTCAAAGCCAGTTGCCTAGCGGTCCAGTGTGCCCAGAAAGCAACAATAGGCAGGGAGCAGATGCCTGCCAGGGAACGTTGTTGCAACAGTGGTTCTGGGATGCACCAGGGCCAGGCTATATGTGCCTTATGGCCACAGGGCAGACTGGCAGCATGGGCAACCCAAAGCCCAACGTGGTTATCATTCAGGGCCCTTCAGACACGCTGTCCTGTATCCCAAATGGACTAGGTGGTGAATGGAGACGCATGCCACAGTGGGCTGTTTATTGAATGCTTTAAAAGTTTGCCATTGCTGGATGAGGTGATGTGCACAGTAACAGCCTTTCCCAGCCTGAGCACACTTGCCCGCACCCACGCTGCTCTGTGCTCTCACTGCCTTCCCTTGTCAATGCAGTACGCTCTGCCTTGCAGCTGGCCGGATCAGCCGTCATCGCGTTTGGACTATGGTTTCGGTTTGGAGGAACCATAAAGGACTTATCGGCAGAGGACAAGTCCCCGGAGTATTTCTACATGGGTGAGTGACTTCAGCTTCCCTGAGCTTTGGCTCAGGTAGGGCTGCCCCATGGCTCAGCACACAAATGGAGCTCGGACTTTGATGGGTGGGGGAGGCACAAGGGGCACGGAAAGAAGCAGAAGGAGCCACACTGGAGCCCTACGTGCTCTGCCTGCTCTCTGGCGTGCACTCATGCAGGGCAGGTGAGAGGTTCTTACTTAACCCTCCCCAAGGGCAAGTCAAGAAAGGCCAGTGCAGGCAAGACTGGACTGTTGTGCTGTAGAGAAAAGGTCTCAAGGAAATGTAACTAAAATTCATTTCAGAGAATAAGAAAACTCCCTTTACAAGTGAGTACACGTAAATCTGTTACCCATTGGTCCATCCAGGGTGACACAGGGCCCTGAGCCAGCAGGGTGTGACTCAAACTGAAGAGAGATGCCTCAAGGGTTGGAGATGCTAATCTCAGTCCTCTAAGACCAGCAACTGCAGAGAACAGGGGAAGAGAGAAGAGAGTGGAAAGACCAGAGAGGGGACTGGAGGGAGGGGACAGGAAGGCTGCCCTTGGAAAAGAGGTGTTGGTGGAAGTGGCTGGCATTGCAGTCCTGGGGTTAGTTCCCTCTGGGGCCGAGGAGATAGCTCAGTAGAATAAGTACTCTCTGACTACTGCGGGACCTCTCCTGTGGCCTATGCTCATTCTCCAACTAAGTGGACCTGGCTGGGCTCTGGATTCACAAAGCCTGAGACCACTGTCAGTGTTGGCAATGCCCCTGCCTCGCGGGCTAGTTAAAGAACTACTCTGGCAGTAGAGTAAGCATCATTTGCTTGTGATGGCTCCCGCGTCTGGGGAGACAGAGGGATCTGCATGGATCATCGGCTCCCAATCCCAAGAAGAGTAGAATCTTCTCCAGGACAGACTGCAGCCTCCAGAGAGACCTGTAGTCCTCACACAGCACCAGCTCGGCTCCAGGCCACCTTCTCCTTGCTGACACCCTTTCCACACAGCAGCCTCCCAGGAGGAGAGTCAGCAGTACCAGGATGTGGTAGAGGGAAGCAGCAGAAAACCTGCTAAAAATGGATAGCAATGAGAACATTCCACGTTTCTTGAAATCTTAGATGGAATCTTTTGTAAAAGCACCCATTCAGGTTACATTAAAGAAAGCAGTCATGTACAGGTAGAAATTCCCTATGATGATATGGTCATTATGTATA